TGCTTTAGCAAAAAGGAAAGTTTTAAGCCTAATCTTAAAAGTAGAGATAGTGTCTGTCTCCCTGAATCAGCTCATCATGATTATGTACACTACTATAGAAAAGTCTTGTTAAGCCACTAAGCCCCAAACTCACCTATGAGTCATAGAAGCATAAACAGGAACCTAATTCCAGGGATGAACCAGTGTTGCATCTACACATACCACAACTTAGAAAGTAACCTGTTTTAAAATTGTATCTTTAGACACTTTGTTACTAAAGTGTAAATTGATGGATTTATTTATAAGGCTTTTGTACCCAGGCACTCAAAACACCTTATACACCTGTTCACACACATTCAACAATCACTTTTTTTTCTAGCTCTAAGTGCTATCTAACATTCACACTCCATCGAGCTAATCAGGAACAACTGGGGGTTGTCTATGTTGCCCAAGGATACTTTGGCAAGCAAACTGGAGCAGCAACTTTTCAATTTTTAGTCGACCTGCTCTTTCTCCTGAGCCTCAGCCAATCACAAGCAGCCTGTTACAGGCATCTTTTGCAGGCCTAACAAGGTGATTCCTAGATAGCTATTAGCTGTTAACTTGGCAGATATTAGCATAATGTGCAGCTTGTTGTTTGAAACCTTGAAGAAACTGAACAAGTGGAGGACAAAAGAAGAAGTGGTTGGCCTGAAAAACTATCACCAGCAAATGGAGAGTTTGTGAAAGTCATGTCCTTAATAGTAACAAGAAAAAAGGCTCACTATCAGGCAAAACATAGAAAAAGGGTGGCTCAACACTTGCACAGTACTGAATGTTAGATGATTTATTCAGAGTATTTTGTTATGATAATTAAGTGTGTCTACTGTATTGCTTCAGGTTGCTGAATGCAAATAAAATCCACTGCATCCGAGCCAACGTGTTCAAAGATCTGGAGAACCTGGCTCTTCTGTCGCTGTACGACAACAAGATCCAGAGTTTGGCCAAAGGCACCTTCAGCTCACTGCGCAGCATCCAGACACTGTGAGAAAATACATGCGTGCTATTTTAAGTTCCGTTACACACTATTCAGTCTGATCTGACTGATGTTGTTCCCTTTTGTAATTTCTCACCAGACACTTGGCCCAGAATCCCTTTGTGTGTGACTGTAATGTGAAGTGGCTGGCCGACTTCCTGCGTTCAAACCCCATAGAGACCAGCGGTGCACGCTGTGCCAGTCCTCGCCGCCTTGCCAACAAACGCATCGC